AGACCTCTCTGTCTACGCCCGAGATGCCATGGCGAAGGCTGTGTATGGACGGACATTCACTTGGCTGGTCAACAAGATCAATTCTTCCTTGGTTAACAAGGTTAGTCAGCACGACTAACTTGCTCTTACTGACGTACTGTTTCATAGTCAACATGGTGATATGTGAGAACTAACCGTAAGTAAGCTCCTCACGGGCAGGGATGCTGTCTTTTCATGTCAGTGTTTCTGGTGCCCAGCACACCGTAGGCTCACATAAAATGTACACTGAATGATTCAACAGTGCGTCCCTGTTAAATAAATGAGTCGAAGATGGCCTCCATGTATTGGCTTCTAGTTGTTGACTTCTGTCTAGCAAAGTAAGCCCCATTAGTCCACACACACAAAAAAGACCACTTGATGCCAAGCTCAGATTTGAACACAACCACATGGTTTTAAAATAACCAAATCAGCATATTTGGGGCCATTTTGAGCCTGTCTGCTTTCCATGCCTTACCAAGCTGCACCCAGCGTCTGTTAGCCACGTTGCTGTTGCTGTTAACGTGCCGTCGAGTTGGCTCCAGGCCATAAACCTCACGCCAACAGAACGGAACAGCGCCCTGTCCTGTGCCGTCCTCACAGTTGCTGCTATTCTTGAACCTCTTGTTGCGGCCACTGTGTCCATGCATCTCATTGAGGGTCTTGCCCATTTTCACTGACCCTCTACTTTCCCAAGCATTATGGCCTTCTCCAGGGACTGGTCCTTCCTGAAAACGTGGCCAAAGTATGTGGGATGAAGTCTCGTCAACCTGACTTCGAAGGAGCATTCTGGGTGTGCTTCTTCCAACAAATTAGTCCCTTCTTCCAGTGATCCATGGTATATTCAATATTCTTCACCAGCACCACAATTTAAAGGCATCAATTCTTTCTCTGTCTTTGTTACTCATTGTCCAGCTTTTGCATGCATATAAGGTGACTGAAAACACCATCTCTGAGGTTCAGACACACCTTAGTCCTCAAAGTGACTTCTTAAAAGAGGTCTTTTGCAAATCTGCTTTCCATAAATAAGGGAAAACCTTTTAGTTAAGGTATATCCGTCAAGTGCCAGAACCCATGTAAGGCAGAAACCTGTCAGAGAAGGGAAACTCAAGTGTTTTCCACTAAAACAAGCAATGGAAAAATAACAAGACATGGAAAAACAAAGTGGTCCCATTGAGTTCCAGCACTCAGCTTTCATTGTATGAGGACCCCATTTGTCCTTCAAAGCTCGTTTGTCTGTCCACCTTGCTGTAGGACGGCATGCTGCGGCACACGTAAGCCCCCTCCTTTCTCCTCCTTCTGGGTTTTCATGGCTCCTTCCTCTTCCAGTGGAAGACCTCTTGCTGTGGGGTATCACTGAGTAAATGCGGGCGTGGGAGGCTGAAGAAAGAAAGTGAATTGAAAATGGAAGGCCATTCTACTCAGGTGATGGGTGTAGAAGCAGGGCTGGGATACAGGCAGGCTGTAGACAGGAAGAGGGCTGGGAGAAGAATTCCCAGCCAGGGTTTTCCTGGGAGTCACTGAGAGAGAGGTGGCATGAGCGTAATAGCCAGGTCCAGCTGTGGGGTTAGCTAGAGTGTGGTTTGTTTTTTTTTTTTTCCAATTGTTTTATTGTGGTGAAAAAAGAACATTTGTCAGGTCACCATTTTTTGAAACACATACAATCCAGTGATGCTAATTAGGTCCATCACCACAATCGGTTTCCAGATGATCCCATCACCCTTGACAGAAACTCATTGCCTAGTACTGACTCCCTGCTTTGTCCTCTCTGCCTCCGGCCCCTGTAACCACTAATAAGCTTTGGTCTCTGTACAGGTGCGTGTTCTAGGTTAGTTTAGCTACGTGGGATCCTACAATATTTGTCCTTTCATGACTGACTGCCCTCATCAGAATGTTGTTAAGGTTCCTCTGCGTTGTAGCTTATAGGGGATCTTCATTTTCCCATCGTATGCATGGCCCGCATTGTGTTCATCCATTCATCTCTTAATGGACATGCATGCAGTTTCCACCTTTTGAGTATTGTGAATGTTGTTGCAGTGAACTCGGGTGGACAAGTTGGGGTCCCTGCTTTCAGTTCTTTTGGGTATAGCCTAGGAGTGGAATTGCTGGGCCACAGAGTGATTCTATATACAACCTTCTTTTATTAGCAAAGCCACAGGGTTTTTGAGCTTCACCAAGTCAAAGCTCTAACAGGTTACGGTGTGTCATTCTGACTAGGATTTCACCAGGCAAACAGTGATTGGGCTGCTGGACATCTATGGGTTTGAAGTCTTCGATGAGAACAGGTGAGTGTGCATGTTCCCTGCCCGTTCTTTGTTGGTCCCTCCTCCGGGTTTCAGTCGAGGTCAATACCATCTCTGCTGTTACTGGAATTGCTTCTCCCCGCTCTCATTTGCACAGCCCCCCCCCCCCATTTCACAGACTGCTCTAGAATTGGAATAACCAAACACATGCGTACATCTCTTGGCTTGACTCTTACGATCCATTTAGTAAAGTACTTGGTTAATAAGGGCTTTGCTATTTTATTGAAAAGCATCCTTAGAAATAAGGTGAATTTTTCAAAATTGGCCTGTTTGCTTAGCTTTTATTTATTGAACTCTTTTGCATCTGTAGTTTTGAACAGTTCTGTATAAATTACTGCAACGAGAAACTCCAGCAACTGTTAATAGAGACGACCCTGAAGGCAGAACAGGCCGAGTATGAGGCAGAAGGCATAGAGGTACGCGTTGTAGCATTTTCCCCTCATCTGGTTTCTGAATCAAGTGACAGCGTCTACCTGAGAACCGTTACTTCTCTGGTGATTTTCTGGGTTAGGACTCAGAAGGAGCCTTCTCTCCTCCTTGGCTTGTTTCTTGGCAAATCATTTTGCTATTCAGAAAGTATGATTAAAAAAAAAACAAAAAACAAACAAACAAAAAAAAAACCACTGGATATAAAAAAAATCAGAGTTTGAAAAAAAACTTTGGTAAATCAATGTAAGACAAATGAATTTTATGATCAGCAAAATGCTTCTTGGAGAATTCCTTCCTCTGTCATTTTAGTGGGAGCCCATTCAGTATTTCAACAACAAGATCATCTGCGACTTGGTGGAAGAGAGACATGAAGGCATCATTTCCATTCTGGTGAGAAAATGGACGCTGACTTAGGGCGAACGCATATGGTGTTGACAACATTCCCAAGAGCTCCTCCCGGGCTTAGGGTTCAGAGTGGAGCCCACTAGATTGAAGGATGAAGTTGAGTTTTTCTGCTCTGCTCTACTCTTGCCTGGGCTGTAGGCTGGGCTTCTGGCAGTCCCTGGCTGGTATAAACAGTTACATTGCTTGGCCGCTAACCGAAAGGCTGGCAATTTGACTCCAACCAGAGGTGACTCAGAAGAAAGGTCTGGCAATCTACTTGTGAAAAATTAGTCACTGGAAACCCCGTGGGGTGCAGTTCTGTGACACATGGGGCACCATGAATGAACTCTACAGCTGCTGCTCTGCCACCCTCTTACTTAGACTCTCCAGCCTGAATTGCAGCCCAGTGCGAGATAGTGAGGAAAGGCCCAGGAGGTGGAGGGGTGCATTCGGGTCTTCCATCTGAGGAAGGAGGACCCAGGGAAGTGGGCACCCACAGTGCAGATAGGTGTTTGGTGGCAGAGAGAGATGGCTTTCCTGCTTAGCACAGAGAAGAAAGTGGAAAAAGTGGGCTTTATAAGAAATGCTGATTGAGTCAGAGTTGAGGGTCCTTTTGAGCTCTAGTGACTTGGAAGAATATCAGTGTTTGCAAATCTACCGTTAGCAAAATTCAAACATCATCTCTTAACGTATATGTTCGAAAGGCAAATGAGAAGTTACTCCTTGCCTTGCTCTTCACTGGTGATGGTCTGCACCACTGTTTTTCTCCCTTTTAAAGAAAACCATAGGAATGGATGGTGACTGCTGGGTGAATCCACCAGTCTGCAGCCCAGTGGAGACAGTTCCCTAGTGGTGCCTTAGCAGAAATGCCACGAGTGGATGGCTTTATAGAACAGAAGTTTACTATCTCACCCTTCAGGAAGTTAGAAATCCAAATTCAGAGCGCTAGCTCTAGGTCAAGGTGTGTGGGGGCTCCTCCTTGGTCTACATCAGCTTTTAGGAGCTGTTGGAACTCCTAGGCTTATCGATGCATCTGTCTGCTTGTCTGTCTTCCTGTATGTGTGTCTGTGCCTGTTCTGGTCATTTTAAACCTCACACTGGTATATGGTCCCATTAATGTAACAAAAGAAAAGCCCCTATGTCCAAACAGCTTCAGGGGTTAGGATTTCAACACACCTTTTGGGGACATATATTTCAATCCATAACAAGATGGTGAGTGTCCTAGTTATCTTGTACTGCTATAATAGAGATACCACAAGGGGGGGCTTCAACAAACAGACATTTATTTTCTCACAGTCTAGGGGGCTAGAAGAAGGAGCTCTGGTGGCATAGTGCCTGAGGCATTTGACTGCTAATCAGAAGGCTGGCGGTTCAAACTCACCAGCCACTCCTCAGAAGGAAGACTGAGCATTCTACTTCCATAGAGAAGTAGAAACCCAAGGAGGGGTCACTATGAGTCAGAAACTTGATGGCAGTTGAGTTTTGAGTTGGAGGGGTCTAGAAGTCCAAACTCAGAGCACAGGCTCTAAGGGAAGGCTTTCTCTGTGTGTCCTTACCTCTTTTGGGCTTCTGCTCCTGGCTGATCTTCATGTGGCTTGGCATTTCTCTTCCCCCATCTCTGTTCGCTCACTGGCTAGTTTGATCTCTTTTATATCTCAAAAGAGACTGATTTCTAACATACCCTACACTGATACTGTCTCATTAGTCTAACAAAGAAAACCCATTCCCAAGTGAGATTATAACCACTACTGGTTAGAATTTACAGCACATGTTTTTTGGGGACACAATTCAACCCTTAATAGTGACTGTGATCATCAGGAGCACTGGCACTGAGGCCGAACCACCTGGATTCGGATCCCAACCCCACCTCTTATGAGCTGTATAACCTTAGGCAAGTGTCTTAACCTCTCTGAGCTCTAATTTTCTCATCTTGAAATGGGTACAATGAAGACAGTACCTACCTCAGAGTTGTCATAACCAAAAACCCAAAGCAAATTTCCCACTCTTAGTGACCTCCATTGGTTTCTGAGGTGGTAAATCTTTTTTTTTTTTT